TTCACATAGTTACAATCTTATGGTGATGTACCTGGTGAGATCCTATCTCACAGACTTTTAAGAACCATCAAGACGACACTTTGTGCGGCCAATCTATATCTACCGTTTTCCAGTCGACGACTTGTTTCGTGTCAAATGAAGGACAAGCTACCGAGTCTCGCTGCTTCCATGTATATTGACCAGTTTAATTGCTCCTACTGAGACAGTTGCATCAGGCGTGTGACTAAGCAATTACACAGTATATCTTTACGCTTCAGAGAACCCGGATATCCCTACCACTTGAAAGACGTATTGAATCTGCCGTGGTACCTCCTTCAATATGCATGATCCCTCGAATTAAACCCCTTGAGTAATTTGGCCAGCATTACTCTTTTCGAGAAGGAACTTGCGCACTAAGTCCCCCTTATTTTTGAATGATGCTTTTAGACATTCATTAAACATGAATTTCATTTCCGCCAGATAACTTAAAAGCACAGAACAATTTCAACATTTCACTCAAAGTGCGGTATTTTTATGCAATGTGAAACCTTCTTTCCTTAAGACTGGGCATTTCCACTACCTAGGATGAAAAAGAGGTGGTGAAAAAACGTTGCCAAAGAATTTTCACCACTAAATGCTGTAACCGTATCTCCAAGAATGATATGTACCCGTGAATTCAGGAATAAATTCTTCCATAACCCTGACCTAAGCAACATATTACCGAATACTAACTTCCATAGCTGGGAAAAAGACAGGGTGCGTCTGTAAGGAACTTCATTTTTTCCCAGCTGGTTGATAACGGTTATTGATTGAATAAGAAGAAATTGTTCAAAGACATTCACTGCATTCCGATGGACCTTCCCAACGGAGTTCGAATTCGCCTTCTGTATACGGCCGTGGCCATAAGGATTTAAATGAACATCGAAAGCTCTGTATTCAAAATAAGTTTGCCCAGCTTTTATTCCTGCTCTGGTCAAAAAATCCTGATGAAAGAGCTTACCTATGAATTTTAAAATGTACTTCTCCTTCTTATTTTATTTCGCCACCCCCTTCTAACCACCACTGTATTCATATTCAACTTATATTTATTGACTGCTTTCATCCCCAAGTATCATGCAGCCTTGGTGACCTTGTCTAAGCTTTGGCGTACTCTGTCTGAACGTCTGTTGGTTTTGTCCCATCGTTCTGAACACTTGTGTCACCCTCTTTACAACACAGCACATATCACTGTCACCGCTGATTCACAAATTACCATGATCGGTTGATATTTTATGAACATATAAAAGACTTTCGGGCTAAACCTTAGGGGCACTTTGCAATTTCGGGGGAAAGCCTTGACGGCTTCAGGAACGGGGATACATTTCCTGTGGTAAGCTCGAAGTTTACCTGTTGATTTTCGTCCAAGAACTTCAGAGTGCTCCCAAACGGTTTGCCCGCTTGATAATACACCAGTACAAAATAAAACCATGCGACTGCTCACCCTCCGCATCCTTCCTTTACACTGTAGTCCTTAACACTTCCCCAAATTCTAGGGTAAATAACTCCACATCTCATACATCTATGTTTCACTTTCTCATCCGATTAGCATATTGTGACCGGGAGTCACACCAGTGCACACCCGGCACTGGAACATACTTCAGCTTCCTGATCAAGATCTGTGAAATGTCGTTTCTCGCCCCCCGGAGATGCGAAATCCAGATAATTCATGCCAGACCACAAGCCCCCTACTATCAAGGTCGAAAGTCACGGTGGTAGCGCAATGTTGGGAGGACATTGCATGCACCCACGAGAATAAAAATATGCGCTCTACACCGATCAATAACCTGGCAATTACCCAAAACACATGTTCACAACGCAACTGATGCATAACAATTATTTTGCTGCCTCGCCAAAACCTTATGGCCCTAATCGTGATCTGATCTGGAAATGTTGACATTAAAGGCTACTTGAACCCGACTGTTCAGGCTCTTGGACTCCTGACAAGCACTCTCAGTGCAGTGTAGCGAACCGAGACTGACCTCACATGAAGCACCGAGCTCGAAGGTATATTGAATGGTTCATAGGCGGAATCTTACATGTCATTGGCAGTACCTAATGTAATGAGTTGTTTCTCCGGCTTAATGCATTCAGATGACTTCGTTTTCAGCAACATAGACCTAAACAACCACTGCAAGCCACGTGACATCATACATGAAGTTTTCGTCCCAAAATCTCCCCTCTGATCACCTCGGTAATTGAACCTAGTTTCACATTCCACCTATAGATAGTACAAATGCACTGAACCGTCGCCTGTTTTCGGTTTCATTTACGTCCAGCGTGTGATTTCCTATGTGCCCATGGTGATTATGTGATTCATTAACTGACGCTTTGAGGCCCAGTCACCATTTCCAGGTCACCACTCTTACAGAGTGATAACACTCGTATTGCTTTTCACTTATTCTGTTCACTGAAGTAGGTTTTGACTAAAATTTGTGACCAGTAATACCCAAATACTCTCACACTCTGGGAGACTATGCATAGCGTGACGATTTAATCTTTTGAGATTTTCTCAGCTTGACTGAGTCAAATGGTAATCGGATGTTGCCTGTAAGAATGGGATACATTCGTACGGTTCATTATTCAGTTTTGATTATCATGAAGATTGCAGGCTTATTTGGGAAGACCATAGCAAACATTCTGTCAGAATTCTCAAACGCTGATATTCGTGCATTCTGGCTGGGCTGGCATATCTTATAGTCATGTCTGAACTGAACACCCGAGCGTCGTCGGTGTGGGTTCTTTTGGTCTCCGAGGCTGTAGGCATAACAGTTTATGGTAAAATAGACCTTTTTGTGGCGAAACGTGGCGTAGCGAAGATGAGTGCAACATGTTGACTGCTTGCGACGGAAATTTGGAATTTCACCCTACCTTGGTGCGACCGATGGTGAAAGAAGAAAGTATGACCGAATACGATCTAAACTTCAACACTGCGTATATGCTGAAAAGTGGTATTTTGATGTTTTCTTCATAAATTGTGGAGCCTTCCGATGTTTTTAACCGAATTTTATGACCTCCCTTCCATACCATTCACGTTCTGTTAAATCTTTTACATTTCTTAACACATACTGATGTCATGATACCTGCGAACTGTCTTCTCCCATGTTAACTTACTAATATGGGAGTAAAATATTCTATTTATTTATAAATATTTATGTCCGCCAGATAGCCATCAAAACATATTGGACCAGACAGTGGAGTGGTATTTGTATGAGTCTGCTGGTAGAATGTCACGGAGGCCTAGACGTAACTTCGGTGGTGTAACATACATATTTAGCTATAAGCATGGACTTTTACAGTGAGCATTTTCATACGAACTGTTGAGCAGTTTATTTGAATAGTAGGAGCTTTGTGTTACGTTTTCATGCACCTTGGCCTCACCTCCACTGCCTCCTTCGCCCCCTTCAAAGAATGGCGCCATTTGGCCCACTTCCGAAGGTCGGGCACTTTCTCCTGACCCACAGAATTCTCAAATAACTCACTCAAAGGTTTAGACAAGATTGAAGCTCTTTCTCCAAGTGCCCCGCACGAACATTATCTGGTCCGGGAGGGGTGTCTTTTGTGAGCGGTAGCAGTTTGTGTGGTACTAGCTCAATGCACAGATCGAGGACAGAGAGTCCAACTTCGCTAGTGGGATGTTCGTAAACTCCTGAGTAGGCAGATGATGGCGAAAAGGTTTGCAGATATTGGACGGCCGGTGGCTCGGCTGCTTCACTATTGCTACTAATCAGTCCACTGACACCTAGTAGTTGCGAGACTCCCGTTTTAGACAGGCGGGACGAAGCAGTGTAGGGAACAGGCTGCTCGGGTCAGCAGAAAACATGTTTGTAAGTCTGATTTGATGTCACTACCGATCCACTCTCAATGCCTTCGAACATGTGTTTCCCGTCTGGTTGAATTGTCTGTAAATATGTTCGGTACCAATCCATTCATATTCGGTGCAGTGGTGTTTCTTTAACCTAAATAATTTGCGATTATAGTTCCTCACTACCTTGGGCAACCTGAAGCACTTCGATCATGAAAGCGGAACAGACTGGCTGATTGCGCGCATGATCTTGACGGGTATGAATCTCCAACGGGTGTTCATATCCCGCCATACATGATTAACTTTCCAATCTGTCTGTTCCAGTGCGATTCAAAGAACCAGAGTGTTAAGTCGTCTGAAGTCCCAACGACGCTTATTGAAAGGTCTAGTTGGTTCGGTTTCCCAGACAAAGAGGAAACCGATAGCAAGGTGGTCACTCCTCCCCAAAGGAGGTAGGGTTGCCAAGTTGTCAATAACAATTATTCATTTGTGATGATGCAGTCCAAGAGAAGTGGGGTTTGAGTCTCCCTCGATCGCGTCACCATTCCCACATTTTCCGTAAGCCCCGGCTCCCTAATCAGATGAAAGAATCGGGCTTCAGTGGAGTCATTACCTTCGCCAAACGTATGATCTGCAAAGTTAGCCCTCAGTAGGTTAAAGTGGCTTAAAATTAGTATGTGTGTGCTCCAGTTTAAGAGAGTGACTGATTCGCTTCAGCATCTGGTCACCATACTGCAAGTCAGCAGATGGCTTCCTATAAATGACTCCCACCAGGCACTTTATAGTATTGGATAGCTTTGTGGTGCACCAGATGGATTCCTCAAGGCACTCCAGTTCTTGAATGTGGATTTGGTGAGCTGAGAGAGAGGAACTGACGTTAAGTGATAACCTCCATACCAGTCTTCCTGTGGTTGTGAAATAGCGTGGTAGTAGCAGTTGCTACTTCCTGATTTGACATGTCAGGAGAAATCCATGTCTCAGTAAAACCAATAAGGTGAGTATAAGTGTCCTAATTTTCGGAGTTCGTCAAGTTTATTCGGCAATGAAATGCGATGAATTTTTCGTTCAAAAATGTTTGACAGGAAGTTAGTTTGCTGAACCGCTACATGCTGAGAATTCCATACTGCATCACACGTGTCATTTGGAATAAAGCAATTATAATTTCAAAAGTTACAATCTTATTGTGGGAGGTTTGTAACTCAAGGTCGTTACTCACTGTTGGTTGCACCCACCAAAAGCCGAACTGTGTTCTGACTATCCTTTTTCTTTTTTGCATGTGAATTTGCAACCAATCTTTATGACTGTTTAAATTATCCATCTAGAGATTCCAAACAAGACTGTTGTTGTTTTGTATCGCAGATTTTATATCTAGACAATTAACCATTATCATCTTTGCTATCGTAAATCAGCATTTCTTATGTATATGTAATGTCAACTGTCAGAGAGTTGAAGTAAGTAAATTTTTTTATTTCGAGGCTTTTGTATGATTTAGACGTAAAATGCGTAAATAAATCAAAACGCGTTTTAGATTTATATCTCGTGAATATCTTAACACATGTCAAGATTTCCTTGCCAATCATTTCTTTAAGGATATTAGGTTCTTCTAGTCTTATTAAGTCTTTCGGGCTGTAAGGATTTTTTGGGCTAAAGTTCTTCCCAAATTCTAGCCGTTAAACGTGGCGCATTGGAAACCTTAGGAAGAGCTTTGGGATAGACTTAGAAACTTATGGAGTTCCCGGGGAAATGCGTAAACAGATTAAGAGAACCTTGGGAGTTTCGGAATGGGGTCCGAAACTCTTGGGTTAATTGGAGTAGATCTCAAACATTTTTTACGAAATTGTGCCCGAAAGTACTTAAGTCTACCCGGTATTTATTATTTGACCTGAAGCAGAAAATTTTACTCAAAGATCGGTATTGTGACATAAATTTATATATTTGTTCGGAATATCTGATTTTACAGCTCTCACTGGATATTATTGACTATAACTTGCATACAAATAAACAATGATTTCGCAGAAAAATTTGAGCAAATAATGTTCATTTTTGGTGTGTCACTCCGGGTGGATTTAATAGACGTAGTACTGACAGCCCTCCAGCATTATACTTCGCGCATCTAATTATTTTTATATGCTGGTGTATTCATGTACGAAACAAGACAAAAGTAGCTGGCTCACATGCATACTTCGTGAAATTATGAGTTGCGGTAGGATCTTATCGTCTTCTATAAACTGAAGCAAAATAGAGCTCTCATTATGTTGTGTGTTACTGAAATAATCTTGCCTAGCTGATCAATATTATTACTAAATCTTATGTAAGTTTATTGGGGTTGCGCTGCTCGTGCGGAAGAAATTGAGCAGTTAGAAGAAAATTTAAAACCCAGAATATCTTCAGTGTGTGGATTTTTTAGTACTAACCGTATGAATTAATGATCAATTTAGTGCCTTAGTTTGTAGCGAAAGGCACAATCTATCACACCATCCATCATGAGAGCTGTGGCTCATTGGTTTGGGAGATGACTTTCAACCTATGGTTGAGGGAGTTCGAGCCTTGCTCCACCTACTGAGGTTTGGGCAACCAGGTAGTATCACTAGCCCTCACACAATAGATGTGCCTCATTGCCCACGACATGAATGTGCACGAGGCTGCTAAATCCATTTTGACTCGATCTTCCATCCGTCAGTAGACATTGAGGCAACTCATATCATCAAAAGTCTCTAACCATTTTCGGATTTCTCATTGAACACATTGTACAAGTTTATGTTCCTTTGGGCGTCATTCCTTGATCCTGATGCATTTAAACTGAAACTACAGTAACTAAAATATGGGAACAGTCAGTTAATACCAACGTTAGGCTGCCGAGCGGTTCAGTTTTCTAAACTTACATTCAGGCGAAAAGCCACCAAATGAAAATAAAGAACGGGAAATCAGTTTGATTAAAAGTCGTCTAAAGCCAGCAGTGTGGAGCTGTCTCATTGGTTTATGGTATCCATTTTCAGCTTGGGGGTCACATGTTCAAGTGGCGCTCATACTACCAGGGTTTGAACACCTAGTTCGTAAATTAGTCCTACAGTGAGTGTGGCTAACTGTTTACTGCAAAAATGTGCACTTGGTTCGTGAGCGTATTCCTGTTTTCCGATTCAAGGAAGTTGACAGAAGAGAAAGGGCGGTTAAAGCGAAAACTGAATTGCAATATGTCGACTAAAATGAAGATAACATTGGGATGTATCTATGTCACAAATATATTCGGAGGTATATCACAGAATCGCCAACTACTGATTTTTGTTGTTACATGGATCCAACCGGAAAGTCTACTTTTCTCTACACCGTCTAGACCAACGATCAGACTTTATGTCATCATCAATATCAACATAGGACTAAGCATCACTGCGTAACGGTTCGAGTTACCACAGCTCAGTACAGTACACCAAGTAGAAAGGTAGTGAGGTGAAGGTTGAAGATAAGAGAATGCAGTCAGGAGAAAAATATAAAGTATGCGAAGAAAGAAAGGAGGAATGACAAAATGGTGAGATTCGGTATAGCGTCGTTAAGGTGAGGATAATGTGTCTATACACCTGAGCCATACCCCCTAGAGTCTCCAACCATTGGTTCCTCTTGTCCCGCGGACCTCAGCCACCTAGTCTGCATCGCCCCACATGGCTCAAACCAGCAGTCAGAGACTTCATACGCTGGTGCCACGTTTTAGTCTGGCCACCTCGGGCCTTTATGATACTATATCTTAGTCTGACCTTCTTTGGGCTTTATATAGCGTAGCCCCAGTGGGAATAACATCACTCACTGGGGTGTAGGTACACCCAGCTGACGAGTCCCAAATAGGACGAAACGTGCGTCGTGGATTCTCCTGCTAGTCACCAAGATCAATATAGCAAAAGCATACTTCAGCTAAAATTGAGCATCAGAGTAGACGGTGGATAGAAATGCATAACACGTCCTAACCACCTTGGTCGATAAAGGTTCGCAACCTCGTCGACTGACCACTTTCACCTGTAACCCAAAGTTACTTAGTGGTTTTACGACTGCATAAGTTACGTTAGTCAAATACCGGAAGCCTTCCAGTGTTTAACCTGAGTGAATTTGTCTCTCATCTATGTGCTGTAGAAACCAGATGATACGCTCATTTTTATAGAACCTGGGAACAACTTGCTCTAATTCGGTTGCGATCCAGGTTGTCACTTATGCGGTATGTTTGCTATTTAAATCGGCAACTCATTCTTGCATCAACGCGTGTCAAGTAAACTGTAAATTTCAAGCACTACACTCCTTAACTGAGCATTCAATCACACTTTTGTGTGTCAGCTCCTCTACTGATTTTCCTGTGTGTGCTAAGCGGTAAGCTATACTTCTAACGTAAAGGCTACTAGTCCCTTGCTGTTCTGACGAAGTTGGATCCAAAGTCGTTGAGGGGTATAGTTGGACATGGTCATCTCTTGGTACTTTACTTCTCATCACTTTCTGTCAGACATTAGTACAAAGACTGGTAGATAAAGCAAGTTATTGTCTTCATGCCAACAACTGTGACTAGTGTCTTCCGGCAGTACGTTTCTTTCAAATCTACTGAAAGGTAAAGATTAGTATTGTACTTTCATAGCCCATGTCTGCTGCTTTCAGACTGTAATCATACATCAAATAATTATTTACTTCCGTTGTGTGCACTACTGGAAGCGTGCTGGTGGTTGACATTTCCTGGCTACCCACACAGTGGAAAGTTATTTCTTCTTAGGATATCTGAGAAAAGATTGGTGTGACCATACAGCCCACAGGCCATCTACTTGAGGCTTGTCACATATGGCCTTTTGATGATTGTCGGTATGACATGTAGTTCTATCGCCGGTTATGGAGAAAACCCATATCCCCGGCCCCGGAAAACTGTGGAGTGGGGGAGTGTTATTTTGGGGGCCGACTTTTTCTAAGTCTTTATATCCATTGGGAAGGTAGCATCAGCATGGCACTGCCGGTCATCTAAGGGAATATACCTTACTGCTGTCATACCCCTATCCAACTAGCAGTAAGACTTCGCTCTTGGGACACTATCATAATGTAGCGACTTACACTACAGCAGTAACTGCCTTTTGTCTTACCACTATCCGACAAACCTTCCTGTCACGATAAGATCTCGAGAGAACAGGCTTTCCAGCTAGTGTAGGTGGTTGGGTCGTTGTGGTATGCGTGCGCGATCACCACGTCACGGTAGCGGCTATCGACCGGGTTACTTCTGTTTGGTTATAGCCATATGATTTCAATCCTTTCCTTGTAAACTGAAATGGTTAGAAGAAGAGAATTATTAAATCCATTTATGTCTGCCTTCCCGTGTCACGGTTAATACCTGGTTTAATTTAACAACAGTTATCTTCAAATATTTCCGATGGCTGTTACCTTGGTGTAAAAGTCGGGTTTGCATATCACAACGATTCAAAAAGCTACGCTGGTAAAACGCTTGTTCCCTCGAAGTTGTACCGGGTCTGTTGGTTAGTGGTTAGGCAGGAGGCAGTTACCGTTATGTAAGGTAGGGATCCGAAGATGACAGCAGTAAGATGTTTCCCTTAGATGACCAGCAGTCCCACGACAATACTGCTTTCACTGCGCGAAGTTGGGCCCCCAAAATAATATACTCCGTTTTACCCCATGGCATACTGGTGCCGGTGATATGGATTCTCAGTCGGACTTGCAGAAGAGAAACGAAAATTTCAAACTTCTAAAAAGCTGTGTGTAACCAGCCTCAAGAAAATGTCCCTTGGGCCTTGAAGTCACACAATAATCTTTCTTTTTCATATACCACAAAAAGAGCCAGGCTTCCATGGTATGAACAGCTGAGTGTCAAGCTCCCTAACAACCCTGTCAGCGCTCAAGTTCCCTCAGATCATTAATAACCTTCCATATCCGCAACTTCTAATCTTCCTTTACGTCTCAGCCAATATTCCTACATCATCTTTAATTTGTTTTAGCTCCACAGATTTTAGTCCACATGACAGCAGATACCAGTGGTTGTAGACTGGGTGACGTGGCTTAGAATCGATCTCAGTGGTAAAGATGTATCCATACGTTATGTTCATTTTAATCAGCACACTGAATTCATTATTTCCTTTCTCCTCCTTATTATTTTATCACGACTTTCTACTTTGACTGCTTTATTCTCCATTTCTTCATCTTGCATCTCAGTGCTCATTTGTGTTGATATGTTTGGCAACGTTGGCCACTGTATAGTAATGTCTGGTCCGATGTTGATCTTGTCTGTCACTGTACCTGTTAAAAAATATATTTACTTCTTCCTTTTTGCATCGGGTCCACCTTTTGATTTCTAGATCTTTTGAAGGATACTGTAGCTGTTTGAACCATAAAAATCTAACTTCAAACCTTTTTCTTATAGAGAATCACCGGTGGCCTCAGCGCAAGCCTATGTTTTGCAGTTTAATGCTGAGGACCGAACATGGCTGCCTAGTGGTGGAACACGATCTCTTTCTTGGGTTCAAATATTACAGCAGAAAGGTTTGGATGCATTTCGTATAGTTGGTTGGCGCCAACCAGATAACCAAGTAAGTGATTTGTTTGATTACTTTTAGACCTGTTTGACACTTATGAAACACTAAATGATAGCAATGAATTTCGCTTAACCGATATTACATCTCATTACTGCGTCAGAGTTAATAAATTTTAATGTTTCATGAGACGTCCTAACTTCTTTTTTTTTAAATCCCATAAAAAAAATAAGTAAACGCTGACAGACATAGATAACCAAGTTGACACAATACAGTCAGCAAGATTTATTCTATGATGTAGTTTTTGTACGTATGGGTTCGTCAAAATTATATGACTCCACACCTTGAACTTCTTCTTGGTTGGGCTCAAAATGGGTCACAATGGTACAGATGTATTTACTTTTTTTATCGTAGAAGTTCTAGACATTACACTAAGTCTCACTCATTTCTTTTTTCCCCTTTCATTCAAATGTGTCATTTTTTCTGTTCATTTCTTTCTTCTATAATGCTGCGATGTATTATGTTAACATCAACTAAGGCACTTTTATACCAGGTCGTACTTTGATTTATCTGTCTGTGGATAGTTGACTTTCTAGTGGTAGGTTACAAATTCAAAATCCACACCATTGTAAAGACCTGAACATCAATACAGTATAATTGCCTAGTGCAAAACCGTCATATGTTTCCTGACTTGTGGATAGACTGTTAGTGAGATCAATGAGTAGCAAGAATTGGTAATTTTAATTCATAATTATGGTGGCTGTATGAAAAGCTCGATTAGTTTTCATCTACCTACAGGGTCTGTAGCAAATATCCATTATGGACAAAGTGTGTTGTACAGTGCTGCATTCTAATGTATGTGGCTTTGAATCATAGTTATTACGGGTAGAGTACATAAGAAGGCTTCATAATGTTAAAATACTCACTTCACAAGGGTGAATATTATTGCTGAATTTGAACATATAAAGGCAAATCTGGAAACTTATTTTCATTGATTGAGTATTCACAATATACATAAATAGTTTGCTTTTTATTTCCCAAAGGTAGCTTTTAGAAATCACTGTGTTCGATTTCATCCCATGAATTACAGAAAACTCACCGTTTTCATTGTATTTATCCATTGAACTTTCAGTAATAGATTCTTCATTTACAAATACAAACGGAAAACATGCTCATAAATGAGAAGAACGCCAATTACAGTTTTCAGAGTAGCGTTTTAGACACAACTTATTGTCCATATCCACATCATGGTCATTCCACAAATACATAGCTCAACCGGGTTCACTTGAGCCGTCCAAGCAAAATATTATTAGACCACAATAAGATAATCTACAGAAGATCTCAACTATAGATATGAATACAATATCATAGTCACACAATTTTCAGCCATATCAGGAAGAGTCAACAGCCATTGATTCCTACCTTTTTGAGGATGCCAACCAGGCAAACAGCCTCCATACACCCCTCAGAAGCTTCTTTGACTGATGCCATATCCTTGTTTGGCTACGCTTAATCTTCTAACCTAACCCTACTTCATCTAACATTTTAAGTCAAGGCAAGTGGTTGCTTAACATATACAACATATTTTATCTATCTCATTTTGTGAAGGTCCGCAATTTTACAAAGCAAAGGATTGGTCAATGCATTACATGCACACACAATTCTATGTTCCCTTTTCCACTTGCCAATAGTAGGGATTTATAAAATATTTAACGGACGTGGTTTTAAAATCTATTGAAAGTGTTGTACTATCAAAATGATGGGGTAATCGATCATGTGATGATCATTTGCAATGAGATTGACTGTTTGTTTGTAACCAGTGGTTGCTTATAAAGTTGTAGGTTGTGGGTGGTCTGTCGTATTGGGAGGTTTGTGGAATTTAACGACAGTAATTCTGTACACTTTTTTATGGAGTCTTATAATTTCTTTGCAGTAGTTGAGTACGTATTTTGCATATTTTATGTTCAGATATGCATGACGATTAAGTTTTTCTGTAATCTAGTAAAACATCTCACAAAACTACCTTACCCAATATTTTTGAAGCTCGGACTTGAATAAATCGCTAACATTTTCATTGTTGGTTTTACCAGCCATGCGTTTCTTTACTTTCGACTATATGAATTGTATTGCTTACAGCCTTCATATGTTCAGTGTCTGAGTCCTTGAAATTGTGCTAATTGTAGTATGTGGAACTGTGGCCTATTTAACCAGTCTCTCAGTTTTCATCTGATGGGTTACGAGTCCGAAATCCACTTCACCTCCCGTGGTTTTAACAGTCAGGTAACATCATTCATTCACTCTCACAATATAGATGTAACTCATAAGTTACCGCAAGAAGATGGATACGGTCGCTAAGGGCATATTGATTCGCTTGACACAGTTAACATACAATTCTGTAAAACTCAATTTTTTTTTGTGAACTAACAAGTTTTGTGTTGTACTCAGAGTAAACCAAGAAAAGAAAGAGGCAGTTTCAGACGTCGTATACTTAGCAGCATAAAATTTAACTACGGTGAAGAAAAGGCATTAAAATCTAAATTTACTAACGTTTATTTGAGCTTAAATTTTGATCGCCGACTACCATCAACTAATTCCTTTTATAAGTCTTATATGCTACTTTATCAAGCGTAAAATCTAAGCGTTTTACAATCAAGATCTGTTTAGCTTTAGATAGTGATTCTCTGAGAGCACCGAGTCATCGGTATTGGTTGTGTTCACTTGATTTCACCTAAAAGTGACACGCATAACAAGATTACTAGTTCTTAGTTTGATTTTTCACTTTGTGGATCGAAGAAACTCTTAAGCTTCTACGTTTTAATCATGTTCAAGGATATTCTACTTTGTCTGAAGTTGTACTGATGTCTGACAACGTAGCTGAGTGTAATTTTTTGTCATCTGGTGCGTTGTTCTCTCCTGAATGTTGCTTGTATATTAAACAAGGATCTCTCGTTAAGCAGTCTTGAATTCAGTACAGTCACCCTCCAGTGACCAATCATTGTACCTAATCTAGTCATACAGAAGGTCAATAGTGACCCGAATATCTCAGTGGTAACGTCTTTGACTGCAGTATTAGGTGACGCAAGTTCGAATCTCAAATAGGACATATCAGTTTCGTAGAGGTTGCATATATACGCCTTGCTGACGAGTACCACCAAGCACAAAATCTAGGTTTAGTGCTTCCTGCCGATTGCCTCCTTCCAACTAACACATTCTTCTTCACCTTTTTCGGTAAAAGTGCCTGTTTTAAAACTTGTATGTAAATGCGTATGATTAAATAATGATAGAAAGTCCTTGTTTCTGCATCATATTTGCCATTGTCAGTGTGTTAATTAGTACGTATATCGTTTTCTTTGCTTGTCAATGTAAGACAATCTAGCATTTAGAAATTCAGTTTATTTGCAAATACTACAGTAACGGAGAGCTTAAAAAGGATATGGAAATGAACTAGAAGAAGGACACATAATGACGCTCAGAGATTAGTATCTGTACAACATTTAGAGTAAAATAGGAAATAAACTGGTTTATGTATTTGTTGTGTTAGCAAGATATTGATACTTTGACAGTATAAATTAGGTTCTTTGACACATAAAGTTAATTGTTTCATTTTTTTTGTATGGAAAAAGAACCATCTAAAGGAGAGTATATTGTTACTGTATATGTACTTCCGGTAACAAGAGTAACTATGGTTACCAGAAATTCTCACTCTCGCCTCAGCAGATTCACTTTATTCAGTACATTTTGACCTTACTTTCACTTCTTACTGAAAAGAGTTCTGATTTTATGTATTTATATCTAGAAGTATTGGTATCTAATAAGTTCTCGAGTATGTTTTAAGACAACCGATAACATTTTGGTTGTTATAGAGTAAACAGTTTCAAGTGGATTTGACGCAGCTAAGTAAGGATCTATTAGGAAACTTGATCACTGGATCATTAATCAGTGATCAAAGAACGAGTATGCTGCGTTGCAGTTCCTTCTATCCTTTTATACGCCTGTGAGACGTTACCGTTAAAAGCGGAAGACAAAACAATTATAGGGTTTTGATCACAGATTTCTTCGTAGCATTGCTCTCGTTTGATGGAATCACCGTGTGAGCAATGTTAAAGTCAGACGAGGAGTACTAGGCAAGATAAGCAAGTCGATTGGTGAGGTTGTAAACCTTTATCGACTATGGTAGCTTGAACATGTGTTGCGCATACCGATCCACTGTTTACTTCGACGTGCCATGCTCGGAGAAGTTGAATTAGGTTGGAAGCGGGTTCAGAATGGTCAGACCAAGACGTGGGACCAGTCGATGAAGTCGCTCATTGTTGGTTTGAGACGTGTGGGAGATTTAGACTATCTTGTTTGGGTCTCCAAGAGGATAGGAATCAGTGGTTGAGGACTCTTGGTGATATGGCTGAAAATCAATCACAATGACTCAGATGTATTCACTCCTTCACATCATCGTAATCTTGAATATTTGCACTAACTGTTATCTTCAATTGTTTGTTCTCTCACACAACTTTGTTTTTTTCGATTTCACTTTTTTCTATCCGTTTTTGTGTATATTACTGTGGTGTGTGGCAACTTAAGCCAATGCACCTGTATTCGGGGTTCTACGTTGATTCCGTTCGTCTGTCTGATCGTTGGTTTTTGTTAAAAGACATATTCACACTACTATATCTGATCTGTGGAAGACCATTTAGATGTCATAATTGCAAATTGGAAAAGTGAACGCTATATACTCCTGACTGGTATGAATGAAGGGAAGTCCAATGGAGTGACAGATATTCTTTACTGAGAAACCGATAATGATAAAAGTACTAAACCTCCTAATGTGGTTCCCATTTACAAACAGTTTCTTGTTCTGCATCTCAGTTCGCATTGTTCTTGCTCTTATTTTTGTAATTTTTAGGATTTTGGTTCTAACTGTTCATGTTGTCCAACAGTGTTTCGTTTTTGCCCGAATCCCCACTAGTCCGATTGTTATCACTTTCAACCTTACCATATATACTACTTACATGTATTTTTATTAGTAGCTGTCATTACATGAGCAGTTGTAAACCGAATTGAGA